AGGCTAATACCCAGAATCTATAAGGAACTTATATGAACAAGAAAGCAAACAAACAAAAAAAAAAACCCATTTAAAAGTGGGCAAAGGACATACTCAGATACTTCTCAAAGAAAGACACAAGCAGCAAACATATGAAAAAAAATTTCAACATTACTAATAATCAGTGAAATTCATATCAAAGCCACAATGAGATACCATAGCACACCAGTCAGAATAACTATCATTAAAAAGTCAAAAAAGCTGGGCTCGGTGGCTCAGCATGTAATCCTGTGCCTTTGGGAGGCTGAGGTGAGTGAATTGCCTGAGCCCATGGGTTTGAGACCCGCCTGGGCAGCAAGACCTCACCTCTACAATAAATCAAAAAATCAGCCGGGCGTGGTAGCGCATGCCTGTAATTCCGGCTACTTGGAAGGCTGAGGCGGAAGGATCGCCAGAGCCCAGCAGGTCGAGGCTGCAGTGGCCAGGAGCAGCCACTGCACTCCAGTATGGGCAACAGAGTGAGACTCCAACTCAAAAAAAAAAAGTCAAGAAATAACAGATATTGACGAGGTTGTAGAGAAAAGGGAATACTCATATACTGCTAGCTAGAAGGTAAACTAGTTCAGCCCTTGTGGAAAATAGCTTGGAGATTTCTCAATTTTCTAAAAGTGGATTTACCATTCATCTCAGCAATCCCACTGCTGGGTATATAACCAAAGGAACATAAATTTTTCTACCAAAAAGACACCTTCACACCTGTGTTTATTGCAGCACTCTTCACAATAGCCAAAAAATGGAACCAAGTTAGGTGCCCATTAAGAGTGGAGTGGCAAGCTATCTCTCTTTGCAGATGACATGATCGTGTACCTTGAAAACCCAAGAGAATCTGTCAAAAACCTCCTTACACTGATAAAGGACTTTGGTAAAGTCTCAGGATATAAAATAAATGTGCAAAAGACAATCGCATTTCTTTACACCAATAATAAACAAACAGAAACCCAAATAAAAAGCACAATTCCATTCACAATAGCCACAAAAAAAAAATGAAATACCTTGGCATCTTCCTAACCAGAAACCTGAAAGAGCTTTACAATGAAAACTACAAAACACTGCTCAAAGAAATCAAAGATGACACAAACAAGTGGAAAAATATCCCATCCTCATGGATTGGAAGAATCAACATTGTGAAGATGTCCATCTTACCTAAGGCAATCTACAGATTTAATGCAATACCCATCAAATTACCAGCAACATTCTTCTCAGCCTTAGAAAAAACAACACAGGAATTCATATGGAAACACAAACGACCAAGAATAGCCAGAACAATCCTCAGCAAAAAAAAACAAAGCCAGTGGTATCACAATACCAGACTTCAAACTTTACTATAAAGCTACAATAATCAAAACAGCTTGGTATTGGTACAGGAACAGGCATATAGATCAATGGAATAGAATTGAGATTCCAGAAGCAAAACCTCAATTTCTCAACCAACTCATCTTTGACAAAGCCTCCACCACCTACCACTGGGGAGAGGAGAACCTATTCAGTG